CTCTCTCTCTCTCTCTCTCTCTCTCTGTGTGTGTGTGTGTGTGTGGGTGGGTGGGTGGGTGTGTGGGTGTGTGTGTGTGTGTGTGTGTGTGTGTGTTACATGCCCAGTTGAGCGATGTACATAGAAAACCGAGGATCCGCAATGTGATAAAAAGGACTGAATGGACAATGCAGTGCAAGTAGAATCTCAACAAGCAATGTGCATTCCGATACATACAAAATGGTGCTGAATAGTGCAGGGAAGACTTAGATACAAATCCTGACCTGACTGGGACTGACCTCATCCACGTAGTATAAGATAGCGAAGCAGAATGCTAGAATGCTAATGACTAGCCCAATCAATGTTTGAACGCAGACCAATCATACATCGTGTCTATCACAAGGTGTGAAGGAGCCTGGCGCTGTACACAGGAAGGAAGCGCCAGGTCCAGACATACACAGACGAAGAGGAGGGGATCAGACGAAGAGGGGGGCGAGATGGGAATGTCGTCAACACCAAGTCTTTGTCACAAGTCCCAAATAATCCCTTGTTGTAATGTCTGAAGCCCAAAAGTCGAGTCTGGATCCAATGTCACCAAGTCTCTCTCTCTCCTTCTCTCGTAGTCTGCTGATGCAGTGAAGTCAGATAATGACAGGGTGAGAGGGAGATGGTGGACTGAGAAGAGGAAGAAGAAGAACTCTCTCTCTCTCTGTCACGAGCCAGATACTAACCTGTGAAGTTGGTGCTGTGCTGCAGGTATCTCGAAGACGAAGCTGGAGCAACGGCGCTGCAGGTAGGTACTCCTGGCCTCCACCCAATCTCTCTCTCTCTAGTGCTATCCTAGCTATGGCGCCCAGCGCTTAAGACCACAGCTACCTACTGGCGCCCAGCGCTGAAGACTAATGCTAACACTACTACTACTCCTGCAGCGCTCCCTCCAGAGTGCTGCTGCTGAATCCTGAAGACTACTGACTGCCTCCTGCCTTGCACGTGAAGTGCCTGGGAAGTACCTAGGAGCTACCTCCCAACTACCTGCAGCCTGCAGGGCGGGCCAGTCTTATATAGTGCTGGCCCGTCCAGGAGGCTGCTCTTGCCAATGCCAAAACGTGCCAGACACTGGGGTTGAAGCTCAAACAAAGGTTGTCTTGAAAATAGGCCAAAAATGGCCTGAGCTAAAACCCTGGTCTGGTGCCTGAGTTTCAGGGCAGGTCGAACTGATGAGGGCCTGAAAAATGGCCCTCAGATTCAGGCTGAAAATACTCAGGGCCGAAAAGGCCCTGATTTAGCCTGAAACGACACAGGGCCTGTAGGCCCTCGTTTTCAGGCTTTCAGGCTGAAACGACACGGGGCCTGTAGGCCCTTGTTTTCAGGCTTTTGGCCTGAAAACAACACGGGGTCT